AAATGGATACATTTCTGGACACATACAAACTACCAAGACTGAACCAAGAAGAAATAGAAAACTTAAACAGACGTTTAACAAGCAATGAGATTAAAGCAGTAATCAATCATCAGTCTCCTAACAAAGAAAAGCCCAGAACTGGATGCCATCACTGCTGAATTCTACCAAACCTTTAAAGAAGAATTAATACCAATTCTCTTCAAACTGTTCCAAAAAACTGAAATAGAGGCCATTCTCCCAAACTCATTCTATGAGGCCAGCATTACCCTGATATCAAAACCAGATGAAAACACAAAAAGAAAAGAAAACTACAGGCCAATATCTTTGATGAACATAGATGCAAAAATTCTCAATATAATATTAGCAAACAGAATAAACTAACACATCAAAAAAATTATACACCACTATCAAGTGGGATTCATCCCAGAGATGCAAGGATGGTTCAACATACACAAGTTAATCAATGTGATAAGCCAAATCAACAAATTCAAGGACAAAAATCATATCATTATCTCAATAGACACAGAAAAAGCATTTGACAAAATTCTACATACCTTCATGATAAAGATTCTCAGCAAATTAGGTATAGAAGAAAAGTATCCCAACACAGTAAAAGCCATATGTGACAAATCCACTGCCAATATCATCCTGAATGAGAAAAAGCTGAAAACTTTTCCCTTAACAATGGGAACAAGACAAGGATGCCCACTTTTGCCACTCCTATTTAACAAAGTATTGGAAGTACTATCCAGAGCAATCAGGCAAGAGAAAGAAATAAAGGGCATCCAGATTGGAAAAGACAAAGTCAAATAGTCCCTGTTTGCAGATGACATTATCCTATATGTCGAAAAACCTAAAGACTCTACAAAAAAAAACTCTTAGAGCAAATAAACGATTTCGGGTCAAGTTGCAGGACACAAAATCAGCACATAAAAATCAGTAGCATTTTAATACTCCAACAACAAACTAGCAGAAAAAGAAATCAAGAAAAGTAGCCCATTTACAATAGTCAATAAAAAAATAAAATACCTAGGAATCAATTTAACCAAGGAGGTGAAAGACCTCTACAATAAGAACTACAAATCACTGTTGAAACAAATTAAAGAGGACACAAAAAGATGGAAAGACATTCCATGCTCTTGGATTGGAAGAATTAACGTTGTGAAAATGTCCATACTACTTAAAGTGACCTACAAATTCAATGCAATCCCCATCAAAATACCAATAACATACTTCACAGAAATAGAAAAAACAATCTTAACATTCATATGGAACAACAAAAGACCCCAAATAGCCAAAAGAATCCTGAGCAAAAAAAATAAAGCTGGAGGCATTATACTACCTGACTTCAAATTCCACGACAAAGCCACAGTAACCAAAACAGCATGGTACTGAAAAAAAAAAAAAAAGCAGACACTTGGACCAATGGAACAGAATAGAGAACCCAGAAATCAACCCATATATGTACAGCCATCTGATATTTGACAAAGGTACCAAGAACATACTTTGGGGAAAAGATTGCCTCTTCAATACATGGTACTGGGAAAATTGGACATCCGTATGCAGAAGAATGAAACTAGACCCATACCTTTCACCATGTACCAAAATCAACTCAAAATGGGTTAAAGACTTAAATATAAGACCTGAAACTATAATACTCCTAAAAGAAAACACAGGGAAAACATTTCAGGAAGACTGAGCAAAGACTTTATGAATATGACCCCAAAAGCACAAGCAACAAAAGGAAAAATAAACAAAGGGGATTACATCAAACTAAAAAGCTTCTGCACAGCAAAAGAAACAATTAACAGAGCAAAAAGACAACCTACAGACTGGGAGAAAATATTTGCAAGCTATGCATCTAACAAAGGATTAATATCCAGAATATACAAGGAACCCAAACAACTTAACAGTAAGAAAATTAATGTCCCAATTAACAAATGGGCCAAGGAGCTGAATAGGCATTTCTCAAAGAAAGACATATAAATGGCCAACAGAAACATGAAAAATGCTCAGCATCACTCAGCATCAGACAAAACCACACTGAAATACACATCAAAACCACACTGAAATATCATCTCACCCCTGTCAGACTGGCTATTATCAAAAAGACAGAGAATAACAAATGCTGGTGAGGATGTGGAGAAAGGGGAACTCTCTTACACTACTGGGGGGATTGTAAATTGGTGCAGCCATTATGGAAAATGGTATGGAGATTCCACAAACAACTACTGATAGAACTGCCATATGATCCAGCAATTCCACTTCTGGGTATATACCCAAAGGAACAGAAATCATGTCAAAGGGAAATATACTTTCATGTTTATCACAGCTCTATTTACAACATTCCAAGAGTTGGAACCAACCTAAATGTCCATCAATGGATTACTAGATAAGGAAAATATGGTACATCTACACAATGGAATACTACTCTGCCATAAAAAAGAATGAAATTCTGTCATTTATAGTGACATGGATGAACTTAGAGAAAATTATGTCATGTGAAATAAGCCAGGCACAGAAAGAAATACTGCATGTCCTCATGCATAAGTGGCAGTTAAAATATAAATAAATAAAAAAAGAAAGAAAGAAACAGCAATCACAATAATAGGTTGAACTTTCAAAGGAGAGAACACAACTGAGGTTACCAGAGGTAGGAAAGTGGTGGGGTTGGGGAAGTGGGTAAGGGAGGAATTGCTAAAGAGCCACAAAAAAAGATTACATTGCATAATGTTGGATACACTAATTACCCTGATCTGAGTATCACATATTGCACACAGGTATTGATATTCAATGTGTACTTCACAGATATGTACAATCAACTATGTTTCAATAAAAAAAGAAGGAAAATAAATATAATTCTTAAAAAGTAAAAATTAAATTAAATTAAAATTAAAAAAAAAAAAAAGCCAAAGCCAATGGCTCCTTTTCATTTCTTATCTTGCTTAAACCTCAGCTGTGTTTAACTCTGTGGATGATTCCCTGTCTTGAAATAGTCTCCTCTTTTGACTTTGGAACTCTGTGTTACCTTATCAGTAGAATGAACAAACTAACACCTTTAGGTCATCCAGGAAGAGTAGAAAAGGTGGAAAGGCTGTGAGCTCAACAAGAGGCTTGCACTTTTAGAGGTATGGTGGTGATTCAGCTGTTAGACTTAAGATCTACTAGATAAAGTTGTGAGAACTGAGTTCCTTCCTGGTGACTAGTTTTGTGGACTCTGATCAAGCAGATTGGTAACTCAATGATAAAGGGGTGGGTGGAACTCAACCATAATGATACAGATAACTATTTATTCTTTTATCTTATGAGGAAAAAAAAGGTGTAGTAGAGAATGGATCACACTATGGGAACTTGTTGACAATATTGCAATTTCCCCTCTTGGAGTATAAGTAAGGAAAGTGAAACTCAAGTCCCTTGGGTCTCCCTCTGTATTCTTTAACAGCTGAAGCTTCTAACCTGCATTCATTCAACAAAATGGAATCAATTTTCCATTATTAAAACAATATTACTTCTTAATTTCAGTGTCACTCTTGTCAAGTACAATTTGGTACTTGTGTATATGCTATCTATTGGCTCTTTGGACTGTTCCTTACTCCTAAGTAATATGACCCTTGACCTCAAGGTATTTGCAGTCAAGGGTCTTTTTTAGTCAAATTCTCTTCTGTCTTCTACATTGCTTAGCATAGGACTAAACACTTGGAAGATGCTTCTAAAAATTCCTGTTGTTTAATTTAACAAGCATTTTAATTTTCCAAGTTTCAATGGGTTTTTAATGACTCCTTGAATGCAATATATCATGCTAGGGGCAGAAGTGTAATAGAGAAAACATTTAAATTACCTGCATTTTATGAGCTAGAGGAGAAGCAAGAACACCTCGATACCTAGGGAGGATTTAGCACAAAGTTGAAATGGCCGGATATTTCCTTGTGTGTGTTATACCAACCTAGATAAGAAAGCCAGAATCCCAGGCAACGTACAGAGCTAATTTGAGTTCTTCTTACAATAAGTCCTATAAAACCTTGTAGTTCACCTCCTTGGGCCCAAAGGTCCAAACATACTGGGCTGTGGGTAGCAGCTAGGTCGCCTGGGAACTTGGATCAGGCCTTTCTCCAGTCAGGCAAATAATCTGGGGGGAAAAAAAAAATCACATGTAGTCCAGGGAATTTTTTTCCTTGTGTGGTTTCTCCACCAGCTAGAGAGATATTTAAAGGCTCTGAGCCTCTCCAGTCTGGATTCTGCCTTCTAAGGGTCATTTTATTTTTAGAGAACTTTCCACATTTCTTAGTTATACAGCCAGACCGGGGCATCTGGCCAGAAAGTCATTTTCCCTTTAAAAAAAAAAAAAAAAAAAAAGGCTAGAATTTGAACGTAGGCGTTGAATTCGAAACAGATTTACCATAGCGTAATTCTCTGGGCATTACAATCTGTGGCTGAAACTGAGCGAAAGGGGTCCGTCAGTTAACCTGCAAAGGACAAAAGGATCTAGAGTCACCTTTTACCCCCCAAGTAAAATTGGATTAACAACTCGTAAGTTTTCAAGCCTCCTGGATCACGGTGCAAGCCCTCAACGGAAACTTCTGCTGGAGGCTGCAGCACCTGTGATTTTGGGACAGACCGGCCCAGGCACTTAAGTCACTAAGAAGGCGGAAGGGAAGGTGGTACCTGAGCAAGGTATGAGACACTTAGGGGCAGCCTGAGGCCGCCACTCACCTCGGGGAGGAGGAGCTGGCGTCCGCACTGATCCAGATGCAGAGGAAACGCGAGCCTGAGCCCTCCAGGTGAGGTGAGGCACACCTCGGGAGGGGCGGAGACAGCCGGGATCACCTGGGCCGAGGCGGAACAGAGGGGTCTGGTCACTGCACGGAGAACCTGGAACTGAGACTCACCTGTGCGGGAGGCGGAGGCGGGGCCGGGGCAGACACTCACCTGGACCGCCGGGAAACGCGACCCGGGAGTAGCCTCGGGTTCGCCCAGCGCGGAGAGGGAGGTGCCCCGGGCCACCCTCCATCCCTCCGCGCGACTGTCCCGGCGCCGCCGCCGCCGCCGCCATGACCTGGAGCGCCACGGCCCGGGGCGCCCAGCAGCCGGACAACACCGCGTTCACGCAGCAGCGCCTCCCCGCCTGGCAGCCGCTGCTGTCGGCCAGCATCGCGCTGCCGCTCTTCTTCTGCGCGGGCCTGGCCTTCATCGGCCTGGGCCTGGGCCTCTACTACACCTCCAACAGCATCAAGGAGCTCGAGTACGACTACACCGGCAGCCTGGACACCGGCAACTGCTCGGCGTGCGCCGAGGCCGACCAGGACGGCGCGCCGCCGCCCAACTGCTCGTGCGCCTTGAACTTCTCGCTGCCCGAGTTCTTCCAGGGCCCCGTGTACTTCTACTACGAGCTGAGCAACTTCTACCAGAACAACCGGCGCTACAGCGTGTCCTGCGACAACGCGCAGCTCAGCGGGTTCCCCAGCGCGCTGCGCCAGCCGGTGAACGACTGCGCCCCCTACCAGTACGGCGCGGCCGGCCTGCCCATCGCGCCCTGCGGCGCCATCGCCAACAGCCTCTTCAACGACTCCTTCTCGCTGTGGCACGAGCTCCCGCCCAGCGGGCCCTACGTCGAGGTGCCGCTCGACCGCACCGGCATCGCCTGGTGGACCGACAACCACGTCAAGTTCCGCAACCCGCCGCTGGTGAACGGCAGCCTGGCGCTGGCCTTCAGCGGCACGGCCGCCCCGCCCAGCTGGCCCCGGCCGGTCTACGAGCTCAGCCCCGACCCCAACAACACGGGCTTCGTCAACCAGGACTTCGTGGTGTGGATGCGCACGGCGGCGCTGCCCACCTTCCGCAAGCTGTACGCGCGCATCCGCCAGGGCAACTACTCGGCCGGCCTGCCGCGGGGCAACTACAGCGTGCACGTCACCTACAACTACCCGGTGCGCGCCTTCCACGGCCGCAAGCTCGTCGTCTTCAGCAGCATCTCGTGGATGGGCGGCAAGAACCCCTTCCTGGGGATCGCCTACCTGGTCGTCGGCTCCCTCTGCATCCTCACGGGCTTTGTCATGCTGGTGGTCTACATTCGCTACCAGGACCAGGACGACGAGGACGACAGTGACGACTGATTCGGCTTTCAAAGGACCTTTCCTGCGTCTTGCCAGAAGGATTGCGAGATTCTTTTGGCGTGTCCCCCTCTCCCCGATCCCAGCCTTGCCTCACTTTCCCTCCTGTTGTGGATGAGGGGCCCAGATAAAGGAATGACCCATTGCTGGGGTGTTTGGACTGCAGAGTGAGACCTCCTTGCAAGTTCTCCCCATGTCCTTCACGACTTACAGAGCTGACGTATTAGCTTCTCAAAGTCTGTCACATTTGAGAGTGGATGGGACAACAGAGACTCCTATTCAGCCCCTATCAGACTAAGAGACTGAGAGACCTAGCAATGTTAAGGAACTCATTCAAGATCAGGCAGCTAGCTATTGCTTCCCTGCTCTGAGTCTAGGGTTTTCGGCACTATTGAACAGTGGTTTTCTGTTCTTGAGGGGCTGGGATAGAGAGTGAGGCCCACACATAACCGGTAGAGAGAGGCATGGAGGAGAACAAACTTGTTAAAAATGTGAGTAGACTAGGAGGCACCAACCACTGAGATTCTGACACACTAAGGCTGGGGTGAGACCCTCGAAGCTATGTTTTAGCGAGCTCTTCTGGAGATTCCTGTATTCCCTCAAATTTGGGAAGCACTACTCTGAACCAGGTTGGGCCTGAAACAGTCCTCCGAGGCGTTTTCCAGGTATTAATTTGTTCCCGGGGCAGTGACAATCTCAATGTTGCAGGTTTGGTCTAGCATCTTCCCTGGAATGTAGGATGCTCTAGATGATATGTGGAATGAATGAAAAAATAAAAATGCTATCTCCAGAAAACTAGTTGGCATACAGATTTGCAGGGCAGGGCTTGTGTCAATTTGTTTAATATCTGAGTATAAAATATTAGACAGCAGACTTTACCAGGTACTGTGCGGAAACTTGTAATGCTGGGCCAGTTTTACAGCTCAGAGGGAATGTTTTCACCTTAGAATCAGATAGCTGGAGGGATCTTAGAGGAAGAATAATTTTCCCCATAGTCCCATCCATGTCTCCTGACTCCTGGCTCAATCCTTTTTGTCAACTAAATTTTTTTATGCTTAGAGAGAATGGGCTTCATTCATATCTTTTCCCTTGGGTCTGAAAAAAACCACAAATAAAACCTCAAACTTTTAGATATGTTCTCAAATGAAACACGTGTATTTCTAGTGATCATGTATGAATGAATGCTACAGAATATAGTCTATGTGTAAAGTAGAATCTTAATATTATTTGAACCTTTGAGATAATGTTGGAACCCTTAACTAAAATCATCCAATTGATTTTATTGATTGGCTAAAATCAATATATATATATATATATATATATATATATATAAAGTTATTCTAAGAAGTAATAGAATATTTTTATTTTAAAAACCTTCCTTTTATGGCAAAATAACTTAAAAACAAAAACAACAACAGAAAAAACTCTTAGTGATATCATCTTACCAGTTTATTTGCCAGACAGAATTCTCCAGGACCTGCTGTCTGTTATAGTTACTTTCTAGTTACTGCTGTTTATGCTCATTCCTTTGTCAGTGCAAGATCTTGATTTTCTTTTTTTAGTGATACATAAATATTGAATTGTATTGAATAGTTTATATTGATTTTATATTGCTCTCTTCTGGTTTGTTGAAAATTACTGACCGATGGGCAGCATGCATGTCACTGATGTCTGTTTCAGATCTTCTGGGACAATTATGACTTAAGAGATTCTGTCCTATTATTTACATACACCAAAAAAATACTTTAGTAATTCCAATGTATTAGCTTCCCACCTCCTGAATGTGACACAGTTTAGTTGTCAGATCATGTATTGTGATTTTAGGCTATGAAAACATTATTATATGTACATAGAGTAAATTTTATTTGTTATGAATGTTTGAGCAACTCACTAGCTCAGCCCTCCACTATACTGGAAAAGCGAGTTAACTACATTTTTTTTTTTTACTGTGTAGTTGAGAGGAACTATATATTTTGCTATCGTTTTTAGAATAGTCAGTTTATTGCTATAAAATTTTGAATGAGACCAGGAAACTTAAGGTATTCTGATTAAATTAATGAATATGGTTCCAGGCCCTAGTCTCTGAGTTTTTGAAAGAGAATAAAGGTTATGTTTGTCCTTCCTTTGTTATCATGTTTGCTTAATTCTTTTGAACTTTGATCTTAAAGGCACAAACGTTACCAACCACTTTGCTCATTTGTTAATAGCAGATTTATTTTATTTTTATTTTTTGTTTTTATATTTTTTTGTGGCTGGCTGGTAAGGAGATCCAAACCCTTGACCTAATACTGCACTCTAACCAACTGAGCTTACCAGCCTGCCCAATAGCAGATTTATATTGCAGCAAGAAAATCATCTTTTAAAATAAGGCTCAGTTAAAGTGAACTCAATTCATTGTTGACTTCCTAAAACAGAATTTGAATTTATATCAACATCAACATGTATATGAACTAGATGGTCCTCAACTAATGTTTGAATTTGATAAATGTGGTCAGTTTTTAAAAACTTTTAGGATTAAAAGTTGTTAAAGAATGTGACCATAGCTGTCTTACCTCTGCATTGTACTTGAATTGTAAACTACAATTATTTGTCAGGTACTTTGGACTACAAAGCAGCATAAACTTTAAAAATGAAAATGTGGAACATTTCCCTGCAATGATCCCTGTGCTGTAGCATTTTGTCCAGTATCTCGGGATTCTAGTTGAGCTTGGATTCCCATCTTGTCCAGTAAATGTTCCCTAGCTAGAGCTGTGTTCTAGGAGTGGGACAGAAAAGAGTGAACCTTGACAATGGGACTGGAAATGAGCTTTGACCTACCTTATAAAATAAAAACACAGATAAAAGAGAGAAAGTAAAATGATCAGTGAGCGCCCCCCAAATAATACTATAACAAGAAAGATTTTCCACGTATCTCCACAATCAAATCAACTAAACAATCTTCTGACTATGCAATTGTTAAAAGTCAGAGACAGGGGCCGGCCCGGTGGTGCACTGGATGGTGCGCCGCTTGGGAAGCGCGGCGGCGCTCCCGTCCGAGGGTTCGGATCCCACATACAGACCGGCTCCCGCTCACTGGCTGAGCGAGGCACGGGAGCAGCACCGAGGCTTGCGATCCCGTTGCCGGTCCCCGGTCCGGTGCGGGGGCAACACTGAGGGTTGCGATCCGTTGCCGGACACGGAAAAAAGACAAAAGACAAAAAAAAAAAAAAAAAGTCAGAGACAGAATAGTAGTCTGGAATTTCCCTTAGAGCAAATATCACCTTGTAATAACCACAATCCTTTCTGCCTCACTTTAAGTGTGTTACAATCTTGAGTAACTTCTCAAACAGTTGTTGGTAGAGCTGCAGTGTCATCAACCAGTTCCTTATATGCCCTTGGATGTAAGTCATCAGTTACTGTAGTAAAAGTAAATTCCCTCCTCCTTTATTTTTATTGGGCATTTCTTTGTATCCCAGATTTTCTTTTTTCCTCTACCTAAAACTTGAGCTGGCTGATTTTAGGTGGCAAATTTAAAAATTTTTTAACTTTAATTTTTAAAAAAAAAAAAAAAAAAAAAAAAAAAAAAAAAAAGTCAGAGACAGAATAGTAGTCTGGAATTTCCCTTAGAGCAAATATCACCTTGTAATAACCACAATCCTTTCTGCCTCACTTTAAGTGTGTTACAATCTTGAGTAACTTCTCAAACAGTTGTTGGTAGAGCTGCAGTGTCATCAACCAGTTCCTTATATGCCCTTGGATGTAAGTCATCAGTTACTGTAGTAAAAGTAAATTCCCTCCTCCTTTATTTTTATTGGGCATTTCTTTGTATCCCAGATTTTCTTTTTTCCTCTACCTAAAACTTGAGCTGGCTGATTTTAGGTGGCAAATTTAAAAATTTTTTAACTTTAATTTTTTTCCCAGTCAGAATTTCTCTTAAATCATCTCCAACAAAAACAGTAGTTTTAAAAGAGTTACAAAGAAGGCCTTAGTGAATCTGACTGAAACAACATTAAGGTCCCAAAGAGATCTTACGTGAGAGTGGCACTTTGTAAAGAATTTGCAAAATTTTCTAACAGTGTTGCTGTGTACAGTCAGCAGGTTATGTGTCTGCAAATTCAACCAACCACTGTGGATCAAAAATATTCAAAAAAATAAAAATTAAAAATAACAATACAACAATAAAAAATAATACAGATAAAAAGTACAGTTTAACAATTATTTACATAGCATTTACATTATATGAGGTATTATAAGTAATCTAGAGGTGATTTAAAGTATACGGGAGGATGGATGTACATAGGTTTTACGCAAATACTATCCCATTTTAGATAAATACTACACCATTGTATATAACTGGAGCACTTGTGAGTTTTGGTATCCACTCAGTGGGGGGCGTGGGGAGGGTCTCAAACCAATCCCTCCCCCCAGACACTGAGGGATGACTGTATACAAATATCCTCCATTATTTCCCTGATAAGATTAACAATGTATATTTGAGAAAAAAATATTTCTCCACTGCTTTGCCCCTTTGCGTTAGGCTTGCCACCTTTAGCAGTACTCAGGTCAATTAGGTCACTGGAGCACTCTGGCATTCCTTTATTTAATACACTTGGGCGTCCAAGCTCATGTAGGACAGAAAAAAGTCCTGGAGTGATGAAACTCAACATACTGTTTGGGGGTGGTAGAGAGATAGGAGAGGGAGAAGAGAAGGGAAAGGTGAGGTCTGGAGCATAAGGCATTTGCCTGGGCCAGCAGGGTTCCCAAGAGGCAATGGATTGGCAGTGGAGGAAGCCTATGGCAGAGGGCAGGGCTCAACAGCGGGACTCATTGGTGACAGGCCTTTGAGAAATGCAGTAAGCGGATGGTGGTTCACCTCCTTCTGAACCCCTTGGCTTGTCTTTTTGATCAATTTGACTGTGATTTATCTTTTTACTTAGTAGCAAAAGGTATTACTGTCAAGAAACTTAGCTAATAGCCTTGCCCTCCACATTGAGCTCTTAACTAAGTTCCCATTAAAGTGGCTGAAACCTTACATTACTGATGAAAACTGTAAATGATCTGTCATTAATAACAATACTTTGTTCTTCTAAACGGCCTTTGTTCTGAAAGTCCAAGGTGATTAACACTATGTGGTCTCATTAATCATATCTATCAAACTGCATGAGCTTTTAGAAAGTCATCAAGACCAATGAGGTAGAAATATATCTCTTTCTATTTTGCTCAGTTTTGCTCAGAACTCTAAAAATAAGTAGAGTTCTTTTAGGCAGTGATAGTCATTGGAGTTGACCATTTGAGTGTTTTCAAAGCAAGACTTGATGAATTCTTGTGATTTCATTAAGTAAAATACATTTCCCATTTTTGTTAAAGAATCTACAATGAGATTGTAAATACAACACTTCCTATTCATGCTAAGTGATAGAATGTTAAATACTTTCTACTCTTTTCCTTTTCCCTTTTTCCTAACAGGCCTAAGGATTAAGACTTATCTGTTATTTCCACATAATTTGCAAATAACTGGATTATGAAATTTCTCAAGTTTTAGAGAAGTAAATTAGCTCATATATTCACTTTCATGGATCTTTAAAAACATTATTGAACATCACATATATAAGTGGCATAATCTCTATCTCTAACCCTAGCTTCTCTCCAAACTCCCATTTCCAACCACCTCTTGGACAGACACATCTGAATGTCCTCCAGGTACCATAACTTCTGTGTGGTGGGTACTAAACTCATTGGCCCCTCCTCCAAACCCATCCTCCCAAGTATAGTCCCAGATGCTGAAAATGACTCCTGCATCTTCTCACCCAAGCCAG